GACCTTCAATGTGCACTTCTCCTGCAGAACTTGAGAACGAACAAAATGGCTGAGAGCAGGATTATGTGGTTCAGTCTGGAGGTCTTGAGTCCTTGGCCCAGGGAGCAATGGTTTTCTTCTGACATGAACGTGTTGAAAACCCTCTCAAACCATCACTTTCAGAATGTACTATAAAGGACTGTTCTATTTCCAGACCTCCTCATCTTACTCATTAGCCAGACAGTGTAAAGGACTGTTCTCTTTCCAGACCTCCTCATCTGCCTCATCAGCCAGACAGTGTAAAGGACTGTTCTCTTTCCAGACCTCCTCATCTTACTCATCAGCCAGACAGTGTAAAGGACTGTTCTCTTTCCAGACCTCCTCATCTGCCTCATCAGCCAGACAGTGTAAAGGACTGTTCTTTTTCCAGACCTCCTCATCTTACTCATCAGCCAGACAGTGTAAAGGACTGTTCTCTTTCCAGACCTCCTCATCTGCCTCATCAGCCAGACAGTGTAAAGAACTGTTCTCTTTCCAGACCTCCTCATCTTACTCATCAGTCAGACAGTGTAAAGGACTGTTCTCTTTCCAGACCTCCTCATCTGCCTCATCAGCCAGACAATGTAAAGGACTGTTCTCTTTCCAGACCTCCTCATCTGCCTAATCAGACAGACAGTTGTCACGATCATCGGGAAGAGAGGACCAATGCGCAGCGTGGAATGTGAACATACTTTAGTTTTTAATTCACCACACGAACAAAACAACAAACGATACGAAACGTGACGTCCTTGGTTACAAGACAAACCATACGGAACAAGATCCCACAACACACTGTGGAAAACAGGCTGCCTAAGTATGGCTCCCAATCAGAGACAACAAGCAACAGCTGATACACGTTGCCTCTGATTGAGAACCACACCGGCCAACATAGAAACAAAATAACTAGAATATAACCCTAGCACACAAAACACATAGAAACAACACACCCTGGCTCAACATAACAGAGTCCCAGAGCCAGGGCGTGACAGTACCCCCCCCCAAAGGCGCGGACTGCGACCTCGCCAAACATAAACCGAACAGGGGAGGGCCGGGTTGGCATTCCTCCTCGGAGGCGGTTCCGGCTCCGGGCATGACCCCCACTCCCTCTCTAACCCCCCAAAGCGCCCCTGGTCCGGTCTGGCCCTGCTGGCCGGAGCTGGACTGAACACTGGTGGAGCGGATTGCTCTAGCTCCGGAGTGGAGCAGCTGACCGGTGCCGGACCAGGCACCGGTGGAACAGGCACGGGCTGTGCCGGACTGACGACGCGCACCACAGGCTTGGTGCGGGGAGCAGGGACGGGCCGGACCGGGCTGACGACGCGCACCATTGGCTTGGTGCGGGGAGCAGGGACGGGCCGAACCGGGCTGACGAAGCGCACCACTGGCTTGGTGCGGGGAGCAGGAACAGGCCGGACCGGGCTGACGACGCGCACCCCAGGCTTGGTGCGGGGAGCAGGGACGGGCCGAACCGGGCTGGCGACGCGCACCATTGGCTTGGTGCGGGGAGCAGGAACAGGCCGGGCCGGGCTGGCGACGCGCACCATTGGCTTGGTGCGGGGAGCAGGAACAGGCCGGGCCGGGCTGGCGACGCGCACCATTTGCTTGGTGCGGGGAGCAGGAACAGGCCGGGCCGGGCTGGCGACGCGCACCGTAGGCTTGGTGCGAGGGACAGGAACAGGCCGGGCCGGGCTGGCGACGCGCACCGTAGGCTTGGTGCGAGGGACAGGAACAGGCCGGATCGTACTGGGAACACACACCACTGGCCTTACACGGGGATCAGGAACGGGCCGGACCGGACTGGCAACACACCTCAGTACCTCTCGCCGTGCCTCTACATCTTCCTTCCCCCTGGTGACCAGTGACTCCCGTAACCTGGCGGCCTCCTTTGCCAACCCGCTGAACCACTCTATCCCGGCCTCCTGCTGCCCCGTCGTCCACGGCGTGAGCCCCCCCCTAAAAATGTTCTGGCCGTCTCTCCTCCCCGTGGGCCAGGCCTCCATGGCTCTCGCCAGACTCTCGCTCCTCTGCTCCCAAGTCCAGCCTCTCTCATCCTCCCGCGGCTTGACCCAGTCGAGGTTGATATCCTTTAGAGCCCTCTCTGGCGTTGGCTCCTGGACACGCTGCTTGGTCCAGTTATGGTGGGAACTTCTGTCACGATCGTCGGGAAGAGAGGACCAATGCGCAGCGTGGAATGTGAACATACTTTAGTTTTTAATTCACCACACGAACAAAACAACAAACGATACGAAACGTGAAGTCCTTGGTTACAAGACAAACCATACGGAACAAGATCCCACAACACACTGTGGAAAACAGGCTGCCTAAGTATGGCTCCCAATCAGAGACAACAAGCAACAGCTGATACATGTTGCCTCTGATTGAGAACCACACCGGCCAACATAGAAACAAAAGAACTAGAATATAACCCTAGCACACAAAACACATAGAAACAACACACCCTGGCTCAACATAACAGAGTCCCAGAGCCAGGGCGTGACAACAGTGTAAAGGACTGTTCTCTTTCCAGACCTCCTCATCTTACTCATCAGTCGTAAGTAAATGGAAAGAGACTAGAAAAAGGAAAACTCAGGTGAATGGCCCACTTTTGATGCTTATACCTTCCCCTCCTCCATTTTGTATCATGAAAAACACGTATTTCTACAAGGAGAGGCTGGAATGATCACTCAGTCTCTCACACAGAGAAATTCACCCCCCTCTGGTAAAGGAAGACATCGTTTAAAGTGTTACAGTAATACGACGTTCGTCTCCCGGTGCCGTGGGCTTTGTCTTCCACCTCTTTTGTCCTTGCCATTGTTTAAATGGCCTAATCCTAATCTGGTAGGAAAGGCCATGCCGTGTTAATCTGAGTGGGGTTCTTGGCTGGGGGTGTCAGTAACATATGTGCTGACAAGGCTAATCCCAACCCTAATCCTTGTTCATTCAGCAGGCCCATTAGCATTAAATGGCACCCTATTCTCTAGATAGTGCACTACTTTTGAACAAGGCCCATAGTGGACTATGTAGGGTAGAGGGTGCCATTTGGGACGCAGACATGGTCTAGGACCAGCACCAAATGGGATTGGGATGTTACTCTAACTTCCTCAGAAGACAAGGCACCTGGGTTTTGGGCCCTAATCCCTGTTCATACAGCTGGTTCATTGGCATTGTCTAGGACCAGCACGCTTTGGGATTGGGATGATGTCTCCCGAGTGGCGCAGTGGTCTAAGGCACTGCATCGCAGTGCTAGCTGTGCCACTAGAGATCCTGGTTCGAGTCCAGGCTCTGTCGCAGCCGGCCGCAATCGGGAGACCCATGGGCGGCGCACAATTGGTCCAGCGTCGTCCAAGGTAGGGGAGGGTTTGGCCGGCAGGGATGTGGGTTCGTTTCCCACGGGGGGCCAGTATGAAAAAAATATTTAAAAAAATACGTATGCATTCACTAACTGTAAATCGCTCTGGATAAGAGCGTCTGCTAAATGACGTAAATGTAAATGTAATGTCTAGGACCAGCAGGCCCATTGTCTAGGACCAGCAGGCCTATTGTCTACCACCTCGCAGCCGGCCGCGACCGGGAGACTCATGGGCGGCGCACAATTGGCCCAGCGTCGTCCAGGGTAGGGGAGGGAATGGCCGGCAGGGATCTAGCTCAGTTGATAGAGCATGGCGTTTGCAACGCCAGGGTTGTGGGTTCAATTCCCACGGGGGGCCAGTATAACTGTTGAATATTATCCTTATAAGGAGCGTAGGAGGAGTCTCAGTTTGTAACAGTCATCTTAGAAAGTAATATTAGAAACCCAGTTATTAAAGCTGTATGTCTGCACTCTTAAACAGGAAGGAATCTTAAAGTACATGATCTACTTCCTTCCTGTTTAAGGAGTGCAGAAAAACAGCTTTAATAACTGGGTTTCTAATATTACTTTCTAAGATGACTGTTACAAACTGAGACTCCTCCTACGCTCCTTATAAGGATAATATTCAACAGTTGTATTAAAGCTGTTCATGTCAAGGAGTTATTCCAATATCCATGCTGTTGATGTTCATGACAAAGGTATTATGTTTTAGTTAATCACGGCAGGAGAAAAAATATGAACATGGGGTTGTCTGGTGAACGTTAAATACACACACATGCACGTGTACACACACACACACGCACAACTACACACACACTTTACTGCTCAAGCTGAAACAGCAGGGTGGAAACATCTCAGTCCTCTATCTCTGTAATCATGTCTTCTAATTTAAAAGTTAAAGTTTGCACTTTAATTAGCGTGTGTGTGTGTGTGTGTGTGTGTGTGTGTGTGTGTGTGTGTTTGTGTGTGTGTGTGTCAGTTTGTGTGTGTGTGTCTCTGTGTGTGTGTGTGTGTGTGTTGAAGTCCCCACAATAATAATAAACAAACAAAAATGTGACCAACTGGGGACATTTTGTTAGTCCCCACAAGGTCAAATGCTATTTCTAGGGGATTTAGGGTTAAGGTTAGCATTAGTATCAGGGTTAGGAGCTAGGGTTAGGTTTAGGGTTTAGGTTAGGTTTTTGGGTTAAGGTTAGGGTTAGGGTTAGGGTAAGGTTTAGGGTTAGGGTTGGGGTTAGGTTTAAGGAAAATAGGATTGTCTGTCCCCACAAGGTCAGTGTGTGTGTGTATGTTTAATTAGCCATTAGCCTTTAACATTAGAGTATCTGTCTCTGATTTGGTTCCTAATGTTTGGGGTAAATTCACTGGCCTGCTGTTTGGTTGCTACATTATATTTAAATATATTTCACTTGATGTGTACCTATGTCACCATTATGTCACCATTATCTGGGGCTGTAGTCCTCTTCAGAGCCCATGCCTCTATAATGACATCATTACTCTGGGACTGTAGTCCTCTTCAGAGCCCATGCCTCTATTCTACTCTGTGGCCTACTATAGTCAATGCATTGCTGGCCTGGGCAAGCTGCTGAAAGCAGGAGGGGGCAGTTATCTGTTCTGCATGTCTCAGATCTAAGAACATATAGAATATAGAATATGGAGGCATTCTAGAATATAACATTAAAATGAGTACTGCTAAGGCAGGGAGCAGGGTCATATAGCCTTTTATTTCAAACAGAAACAGAAGCCAGTTTCCAGCAACACATTTAGTTAAACAACTAGCAACTACATTTAGTTTAAAAAAACTAGCAAAACAAATTAGATAAACAACTAGCAACTACATTTCTGTATAAAACTCTTTGATCGATGTTGAAATAAAAATAACTGCTTCGTGGTCATTAATGTATTTTCATTAATAACTGTTTCATGGTCATTGGTCTTTCACGTATTGCCGTTAATAAATGGTTCATAGTCATTGGTCATTCATGTATTGTCATTCACAGGAGCATACAGTAGTTGTTATCTGAAATACAACATAAATGAGCTAAATCATACCTTTTTCAGTTCCTCTTGGCAACAAATATACAAGCAAAGATATGTGTTAGCGATTAGTTGTTGAAAAATACAAACAGGAGCTGATGAAATTTGTGGAAGTAAAACAATTATTGGCTTTTTTCTATGAAATTTAAATAGGATTATTTCTAGGTAATTTCAGATGAATCAGTGAAAGTATACTCCAGACAGAGCATTTAAAAGGACTTAATCACAATTGTCTTAACAAATCTCAAAAACTGGTAGACATTTTGTACAGAGAACTTTAAACGACAAATTCAATACCTCAAAATATGTGTCAACATTACATCTGCATAAACACAAGATTCTACATCAACCTCTGATCTCACGCTTCAGTCTGGTTTCAGTTTAGCCCACAGTCTGTCCCAGAATGCCTGGTGCTGATTGGGGTCTTGGGGCCAGTCCAGATGGGTCCTTGTCTTCACCAGGCGAGCCAGCCTGTGGTGGGCAGACAGCTGGCGAGGGGGGATCTTCTCCAGGAAGACCAGAAGGAGGATGTCCCTTTGCTCCACCTGCAGCCTGGAGGTGGCCAGCTTCATCTCCAGGGAGCACCAGTTACTGCGCAGGTAGTGGCGGCTGACTAGGCAGAGGGTGTGGCGGCTCCGGTAGAGGCTGTCTGTGATGTTCTCCACAATGTCCTTCCCCAGCTGGAAGTCCCTGCTGTGCAGACAGAGGCGCAGGAAAGGAGGACCCCTCTGCTCCAAATTGGAAAGCAGGTCCTCCACCACCCAGTGTTCATCCTTCCCGCTGTAGGAGACAAAGACATCATAGTGGTAGCGCCCCCTGGTGTTGGATCACATGGCCTCTGACAGCCAGCCAAGGGTGATGTGGTAGAGGGGGAGGAGGTAGGGGCCGGCCAGGTTGTGGACCGACACCACCAGCATGAAGAACAGGACTCCCAGGCCAGTCGCAGCAAAGAGCACAAAGCCCACCTCTGTTGAGCAGTTGGCTTCTGTGTACTTTACAAAATTAGGTGTGTCTATTCCATTGTCCGACAAGCATATCAAGTCCTCCAAATCATGCATAATGGCATGTGTATACGTAATTAGCATGATCACTTCAACCTGCCTGTACCCCTTTGTCCATGTAATGAGCCAAGCATTGTCACAACTGCAAAACGTCTGTAAATTATTAAATATCAAATACTTAAGGCTAGAGAGAGGTTCAGTAAAGCTGTAGAATACATTATAGATGTTCTCGATATCCAAATATAATGTTTTCAAAGCTTTTAAGTCTTTAGTTAAACTCCTCTCCAAAGAATTAATCCTGCAGTTGTAAAGTTCCAGAACTTCCAGTTTGGTCAGGTTGTGAAAAATGATGTCGGCAGAATGCTGTATTAAAAGATCCACCTGTCTTAGAGCCAGTTTCCTCAAGTGAATCAGCTGATTAATTGATGTTAAATCAACACTTTTAGCTGAAAGCTTAGATCTGTGGTCAAATGTCTCCACAGACGTGAAGTACTTTCCCATGAATTCAGATCCACAAAGGAATTCTTCAGCATCAGTATTAAGATGGGTTACAGACTGAAAGAAAGGTCTGTCACAGTCTTCAAATGAAACCATCTGGCCTTTGAGCTGGAGACTCAGGTTCTGTTTAGATGTGATGTTGCTGCCGATAGTCAACTGCATTGGCCTCATAGCTGAACTAATGTACAGATGAGTCAGCTGACTCAGAATGCCACCAAATATAAGTGTCAGATTGAGCTTGATTACAGGTTCTGTTAGTGGATTGTTCTCTTGCCCGAGAAACATTTTATCTTAGAGAAGTGAGGTGTGTAAAAGACATTGCCTCAATGTTGTGAATAAGTGGATTGTTCCTGAGGTCTAACCATGTCAAACTACTTACACCAAAAAAATTTGTTTGCATGTATCTGTGTAATCTTATTTCTTGTAATGTTTAAGGACTCCAGATTTGTCAATCTCAGGAATGCAAAAGTCTTCAATATTGGAAATTAAATTATCTGTTAAATCCAGACACTGCAGTTTAACAAGACAGCTAAATTGTTTTGCAAAAAGCATTTGTAGATTGTTCAACCTTAAAGTGAGTTTTGTCAGTTGTAAACCAAAAAATGTGTTTGCATTTATCTGTGTAATCTTATTTCTTATAATATCTAAGGACTCCAGATTTGTCAATCTCAGGAAAGCAAAATCTTCAATGTTTGAAATTAAATTATCTGCTAAATTAAAATACTGCAGGTTAACAAGACAGATAAATTGTTTGGCATAAAGTATTTGTGGATTGTTCAACCCTAAAGTGAGTTTTGTTAACCATGTGATTGGTTGTTTTTGGAAGGAGCAAATATCAAGTCTGATGTCTGTCAGGCCATCTATTGTTAATTGATTAAGTTTTTTGAGACTGGAAATAAAATTCCATTTCAAATGGGGAGTAGGATGTAAAGGCCCAGGTCCAATTAAATACATATAGTTTAGCCCAATGCACAATTCAACACTGGACATAGAGAGGCTGCTTGTATTGGCATTGTATAAATATATTTTCTTGATTGAAAGTCAGTGTCATTGCTACAAGAGCAACTGAAGTACTGGATTTGCTTAATCCCAGAGAGGGGAAGGAGCAGTAGGACTTCCTGGCTGAAAGCCCCAGTTAACCTTGTCAGGTTCGGGAGACAAGCCAGTGCACCTTCCTCTATATGCGTTATTTCACCAAATGATAAGTCAGTGTTTTCTAGAATGTTAAAAACAGGTGTCAGGCTTTCTTTGTTTTTTTTAAATGGAGCAGTTTGATTGGTTTAACGATTGTATTTCTGGTGCTTCTATATTTAGCTTCATCAGTGACTTTATATTCATTATTCTGCATAGTATCTCTGACAAATCATCTACACAGGGTTCACTAATGATTAAACTTTGTAACTGAGTAATGCCATGGAAAACAGGCCATTGCTGACAGTCTATAACCACATATGGTCAAATTACTTAGCTTGACTAAATCTCTGAATGTTTGAGGCCCAATATGACAATCACAGCACCCGGAGCCCATTCCATCCAAATATAAATGCTGCAGATTTGGAAGGTGGCTACTCCCAGTTGAAAGGATTTGAGTAAAACAGCCCTTAATGTTCAGGTACTCCAGATCCTGAAACTGAGAGAAAAAGCCCAGAGACATGGATCTATTTTCGCCCTGTGTCATAGATAAGCAGAGGTTATTGATATTAGGGGGAAGTCCAAATAGATCTTCCTCGATGGCTGTGACATCTTCACAGGCAGCAGTGTAATGTTCTTCATGATGAGGTAGGTAGGTGCAGGTCCAGGTGGCAAAGTCTCCCAAGTCTTCACCACTGTCATAAATCTGGCATTTAGGATGCATCCATCCGCTAGCACTCTGAATCCACAGGAACAGGACTGCAGGGTGGGAAAACATACCTCTCATCTCTCCTAACGTCAGTCAAATCTACTGAGATAATTGTCAGAATAGTTTGGTTCTGGTTGATATCTGTAGAACGTTGGTTTGATACAGTAACATCCTTCAGAATGCTGCAAACAGTATGGAGTCTTTCTACTTCTTCTTGTTTGTCAGATGGGTTCCTCCTTGGTAACTAACAGCAGCTCATACCTTTCAGTTGTTCCAATATTCTGCCCTTTCACCCTCCAGTTGAATTGTATCTCAAGGTTTGAAAGTAATTATTTAATGGTTAGTGTCACGATCGTCGAACAGAGATGAGGACCAAGGCGCAGCGTTGCAGGCAAACATACTCTTTAATAGAGACACGATCAAACACAACAAAACGAAAACGTGACAGTTCACGGTCTAACACAACAGACTAGAAACAAGATCCCACAAACTCTGTGGGGAAACAGGCTGCTAAAGTATGGTTCTCAATCAGAGACAACAAGCAACAGCTGAATCACGTTGCCTCTGATTGAGAACCACACTGGCCAACATAGAACAACAATACTAGAAATGAAACCTAGAACAAAACACATAGACTTTACACACCCTGGCTCAACATATTAGAGTCCCCAGAGCCAGGGCTTGACAGTACCCCCCCCTAAAGGCGCGGACTCCGACCGCGCCCACCAAATACCACAGGGGAGGGACCGGGTGGGCACTCCGCTTAGGCGGCGGATCCGGCTCCGGGCCTGATCCCCGCTCCCTCTCCAACCCCCCAAAGTACCCCTGGTCCGGTCTGGCCCCGCTGGCCGGAGCTGGACTGCACACTGGTGGAGCGGATTGCTCTAGCTCCGGCGTGAAGCATCTGACCGGTGCCGGACCAGCCACCGGTGGAACAGGCACGGGCCGTGCCGGACTGACGACGCACACCACTGGCTTGGTGTGGGGAGCAGGAGCGGGCCGAGCCGGGCTGACGAAACGCACCACTGACTTGGTGCGGGGAGCAGGAGCGGGCCGGACCGGGCTGACGAAACGCACCACTGACTTGGTGCGGGGAGCAGGAGCGGGCCGGACCGGGCTGACGAAGCGCACCACTGACTTGGTGCGGGGAGCAGGAACGGGCCGTGCCGGGCTGACGAAGCGCACCACTGACTTGGTGCGGGGAGCAGGAACGGGCCGAGCTGGGCTGACGACGCGCACCACTGACTTGGTGCGGGG